GCGCGAGTGCTTCTGAGAAGTCCCGCCTCCTTCTGAGAAGGCCTTCTCCTTATCATTCCCCCCCACACACACACACGCCTTCTGCGAAAGCCTTCTCATTATCATTTCCCCCCTCGCTCGCCTTGTAATCTAGGAGGACAAATCGGCCAGTGGGGCCCAGGCCACGCCCGTGGGGATAGTAGAGGCCTCCCAGATGGGGTCGGAGTAGATGGGGTCGGAGGATCGCGCCGCATCGCCGATGCATCGGCGATACATCGGCGATGCATCGGCGATGCACCGGCGATGTATCCTCGACGGCGGCAATGTACTGGCGACGTCGGCGTGGGGAAACATGGGCTGCACATCGAGCCGCATCGCCGATGCATCGGCGATGAAGCGCGATCCTCCGACCCCATCTACTCCGACCCCATCTAGGAGGCTTAGAGATAGGGGCCGGTGGAACGGTGCTCGTGATCGGGCCGCGTCGGCACGAAGTCGGCATCGAGCCTCGGATCGGTCGCGCCAGGATGCACGGCAGCACAACGCAGGCGCGTGGCCGCACGGCTCCGCCGCGGGGCCCGAGCACCCCCCCCCCGCGCGGAGCGGCGCCGCTCTTTCCGGGCCCCGGGGCCGTGTTTCCGTGCCTTTTTCGGGCCCCGGGGGTGACAGAAACCGATTGAAACCAGAACGGGCCAAACAAAAAATTGCGTTAGTGGCCCCTTACCCACAAACACGCAGGGCGTTTTTTTGTGGGCGGCTGACGATGGGTTACCACCGCCGACCCGGACGCAAGGGTTTCCCCCTGCGCCCGATTCGGCTGACGATGGGCTACCACCGCCAGCCCGGAGACAAGGGGTTACCCCTGCCCCCGATTCGGCCGAGGATGGGCTACCACCCCCGGCCCGGACGCAAGGGTTCCCCCCTGCGCCCGATTCGGCTGACGATGGGTTACCACCGCCAGCCCGGAGACAAGGGGTTACCCCTGCCCCCGATTCGGCCGAAGATGGGTTACCACCCCCGGCCTGGACGCAAGGGGCTACCCCTGTGCCCGATTCGGCCGCCGATGGGTCACCACCGGCGGCCCGGAGACAAGGGGTTACCCCTGCCCCCGATTCGGCCGAGGATGGGTTACCACCCCCGGCCTGGACGCAAGGGTTTCCCCCTGCGCCCGGTCGCCGTCGCCCTCCTCAATTCCTGTTCCTCGTTCTCCTCCTCCTCCTCCGCCTCCTCCTCCTCCTCCTCAGAGAAAACAGTGACGACAGGTACGAAAACCCGAGGACTCGTGTAGCTGCAGGACCCACCATCATGATGCGTCATCATTCCCGATCGTGCCGCGAGTGGGATGAGGCACCTCCGTGCGAGTTCCCCTTCGATCCTCAAAATCGGTCTTAAAATCGGTCTGAGATGTCCTTGCAATTTAGTCACAGACGAGGCTACCGCTCGATACTTCCTTCATATTCCAGCCTGAAACGCCCAAAAGTGACGACAGTTGGAAGTTGCGGATGACCCGCTCGGATTAGTAACATGATCTGCGGGTCCCATAAGGAGGGGCTCCCGCCTGAGACTTCCTCGCAATTCACTCACAGACGAGGCTCCCGCTCGATACTTCCTCCATATTCAAGCCAGAGGAGCCCAAACATGACGACAGTTACACGTTGCGGATGAACCGCTCGAATTCGTAACATGATCTGCGGGCCCCATAAGGAGGAGCTCCCGCCTCGGACTTCCTCGCAAGTCACTCACAGACGAGGCCCTTGCTGATGATGGTGGGCGATCGCATGACGATAACGTTGACAATGATGAGAATGATGAGAATGATGATGAGTGGTGAGTGGGTGATGATGTAGGTGTGTTCTGGTTCTGGTTCCTGGGCGGGGTGTCAAAAGAAAACAAGAACCCCACTTTGGATGTGGGGAATAAGAATATGACAACGACGACGACGACGACTACTACTACTACTACCACTACTATTACTACGACTACTACTACTACTACTACTTCTACTACTACTACGTTTGCTACTACTACTACTACTACTACTACTACTGCTACTACTACTACTACCACTACCACTACTACTACTACTACTACTACTACTACTACTACTACTACTACTACTACTACTACTACTACTCCGGCTACTACTACTACTACGACTAATACTACTACTTCTACGACGACTACTACTACTACTACTACGACGGCGACGACTACTACTACTACTACTGCTACTACTGCTACTACTACTACTACTAATACTACTTACGGCTACTACTACTACTACTACTACTACTACTACTACTTTTACTACCACTACTACTACTACTGCTACTACTACTGCGACTACAACTACTACTACTACTACTACTACTACTACTATACTGATACTACTATACTGATACGACGACTACGACTACGACTACGACTACGACTACGACTACGACTACTACTACTACTACTACTACTACTACTACTACTACTACTACTACTACTATTACTACCATTCGGATTCCTACTACTA